CACGCCCAGCGTAAAGATGTAGAACTTCTGAGTGTGAGTTCCTGAGCCCCAGTCGGTGGCTGGGCCACCTCGGCAATACCGGAATTCAAACAGCTTCGGATCGCCTCACGACGGTTCAACAGAAAGCCCAAGACAGCCCAGCTTTGAGATCCGAACTTTCGAAACAATGGAACGTCGCAAAACATATGACGGGATCCCTGGGCCCCATCTTGCTGTTTTTGGAGCGGAATCGATCTGTGATGGTCTTGTGGGCCAAAACTCCAGGCGAAGGACCCCATCATATGCAATCGTGAATGACGCAGTCGTGAGGGTCGTCTTCCGTGTGAGGGGTGTGCCGAAAGGGGGCGGGGCATGTGGACCCTGCCACTGTGGCCCTGGGTGGAGCTCCCCATGAGTCCACGGAGCGTGTGAGGGATGCGCCGAGATGGGGCGGCGGGGCGCATGTGGACCCCGCCAGTGGGGCCTCAGGTGGAGCTCCCTGAGAGGGGGCACGAAGCGTGTGAGGGGGCTGCCGAAATGGCTGCCGCGTGCGGACCCTGCCACTGCGTCTTCTGGTGGAGCTCCCTCTGGGGCGCCTGTGGACTCCTCCCTCCTCCCTCTCCTCCCTCCTCTCCTCCTCCCTCCTCCTCCCTCCTCCCTCCCTCCTCCCTCCTCCTCCCTCCTCCCTCCTCCCTCCTCCCTCCTCCCTCCCTCCTCCCTCCTCCCTCCTCCCTCCTCCCTCCTCCGAAGCGTGTGAGGGATCTGCCGAAACGGTGCGGGGGGCGCATGTGGACCCTGCCACTGGGGCCTGCGGAGGAGCTCCCCATGTCGGCACGACAGGTGTGAGCGGTGTACCGAAATGATGCGAGGGGGGCGCATGTGGACCCTGCCACTGCGGCATTCGGTGGAGCTCCCTATGTGGCAACGAAATGTCTGAGGTGTCTGCCGAACTGTGCCGCGGGGATGCATGCGGGCTTTGTCACTGGGGCCTTTGGTGGAGCTCCCAGTGGGGCCACGAAACTTGTGCGGCGTGTGCCGACAGGGTGCGGGGGACGCCAATGGATCCTGCCACTGGGTAGGTACAGCTCCCCATGTGGCCACGGAGCGTGTGCGGGGTGTGCCGAAAAGGGGGCGGGGGGGCGCTTGGGAACCTTCCCGCTGGGGCCTTCGCTGGAGCCCCCTATGGTGCCACCGCACAGTTTGTGAGGGGTGTGCTGAAGGGGAGCGGGGGGGGGAGCATGCGGACCCTGCCATTGTGGCCCTGGGTGGAGCTCCCGATGGGGCCACGGAACGTGTGAGGGATGTGCCGAGATGGGGCGTGGGGACGCATGTGGACTTTGCCCATTGGGGCCTTTGGTGGAGCTCCCTGAGGAGGTACGGAGCGTGTGAGGGGTATCCCCAGATGGTGTGAGTGGTCGCATGAGGACTTTACCGCTGGGGCCTTCGGTGAAGCTCCCTGTGGGGTCACGAAACGTGTGAGGGGTGTGCCGACATGGACCGACATGGTTGCGCGAAGAACAGAAGCAAGGATGTGAGGAGGGAGGAGAGGGAGAAGGAAGAAGTAACGCGCCGGGCGCTATCTTTTCAAAACGAGGACCCAACACCACAGGATGGAAGGAGTGAACATGCTTCTTCCAGCTCGCTCAGACTCCCCCCTGGCAGGGCTAACGCGGGGCGGAGCATGCTGATGGTCGCCACTGCCTTCAGGCTCTCCGGGCGGGGGGACTGGGATGCAGGACGACGAGGGGGAAGAGACGCCCAGGGGTTCGCGGTCGACAGCAGCCGTCGTCGCCGCCACCACCGCCGCCGTCGTCGATGTCGACGCCCTGGTGCAGCCGACACACGAAGTAAGAATTCCGTCTGCCTTCGGGTGCCCCGTCGGAATTTACTACCTCCCGGTGGGTCCGGATACCTTCGGGGGACGCCTCGCGAAGTTGAAGGTCGACGGATGTACCTTCAGATTCCAGATAGCACGACATCTTATCGCGTCTGTGTGTGGGTGTCGATTGTATTCGCACTTGTCGCCAAGGTGTCTAGGTCGCCATCGTCGTCGCCGTGGTCGCCGTCGTCCCCTCGGGTCTCGCCGTCGTCGTCTTCGTCGTTGCTTTCGTCGTCGGGCGTCTCGTGTAAGTCGGGGGCCCCACCATCCGTTCGTCGTCTTGCTCTCCGGAGTAGCATTCTTATTATGAATATTTTTCTTATGTTCGTGACTATTATTAGCGCGATTCGCATAAGACAAGTCTTATAGTTCCTACAAGTCTTATTGCTGGACCAGCAACAAGTTAATACATGTCACGTTTTTGTTGCTCTTGTTTTTTGTCTCTTTATCTTTACCTGTTCTTCCTCCCTCCCCCAAGCCAGCTGGATGCGAGAGCACGGGCGGCCATCGAAGACGCCGGACCAGCGCCGGGCGACGAGGCGGCGTCTCCTACGGCCGCCGCACGGCCAGAGGTCCTGGGGGGCGCTCCTGTCCGCTTGGCATCGCTCGGACGTGTGCATACTATCGCGAGGAGCATGTTGC